CTGGTACAGACGCTGTCTGCTGTGGGCTAGCAGATGGGGCCACCTGCTCGTGGGCTCTCAGCCTCCGAAACTGCCGCATAAATAAACCTCTTCTTTGTAAAATAGCCAGCCTCGGGCTGTCTGTTACCTACGTGGAAATTGGGATCATACAGGGTATTCTGAGATGAGGGACAGGGACCCTCCTAGGCTAACGGGACAGAACAAGCTTACTGTAGATGAGGAGGGCGCTCGCAGGCCGAGGGGGTGCTAAACCCCCTTCTTAATCTCTACAAGAACCTGCCCCTGAACCTCCCCAAGCAAGCCCTCCACCCAAATCAAAGGAGCTGCTTCTGGGCTAATGTCACCTCCAGGCCAGTCCCCAACTGTCCCCTTGCAAGCAAGGAGCTGCCCAAGAGGAACCGTGGGCCCCCAGCTGCCAGAAAGACCAGCCTGGGCCAGGCAGCTCTGGTGCCACGTGTCTGCAGGCCCCTCTCCGGCATCTCTGCTGCTCTCTGGGCCTCTTTAGGACTGAGGTCAGGTGGCCCTGACGGCCCTTCTAGCTCCTCTGGTGCTGAGGGACCTGGAAAGACAGGCCCTGGTACTGTCCCTCCCTCCCCACACACAGTGGTCAAGGACCACTGTTTGCTGCTCCACCCGCCTCAGTCCTGCTCCCGGGACAGCAGCTGGGCCTGGGGAGTGCCTGGCAGTCACCGTGTTGTCCCTGGCACACCCTGGCACAGGCCGTCAGCCCCTGGGCACCATCGGTGGGGCTGCAGGCTCAGGGCGGGCGAGCAGGGAGAACAGTTGCTTTCTCTGAGCCTGTGACCGAGAAGGGGCGTCTCTTCTATTTCTACAAGGTCTCAGTGATGGACACAGCCACGGGCAGCCTGGGGAGGGGGGCGGGCAGGGAAGGACGTCAGAGAACCCCAACCGGGCGCCCCCAGCTGCGTGCCCATCACACGAGCAGATGGGAGAAGGCGCTGCAGGAGACTGAGATGGAGGCAAGAACTGCTGGAAGGAAGCAGGAGGGTGGGGTCCAGCCTGGCTGGACCGCCCAGGGCTGCCAGTCGGAGGAAGGGCACTGCGGCCAGCTCAGCCGGCTCCCCCTCCCCGCCGAGAGATGTCACAGCCTCAGCCCCACTGCCTGGGACCGTGACCTGACTGGGAAAATTGCAGACGTAATGAAGTGACAGACCCAGCGAGAAGATCATTCTGAAGCCGGCGACCGGTCTCCTTACACAAAGGGGTGCGGACAGGTGGGCATTCTGTAGACACGTCAGCCTGCTTTGGGGCTCTGCAGCCAGCGCCGGGAGACAGGAGACGTCTGCTATTGCCACAGCCCCGGGAGACTAATCCCAAGCCCGAGTGCCCCTGGAAGAGGCGCCTCATGCCCGTCCTGTCTCTGTGCAATAAGACTGGTCCTTCCGGCCCCCGGGAATGGCTTTGTCAGCAGTGCAGCGCCCGCGGTGTGGGCGGGGTGGCGGTTCCAGGTCTGACGCCTGCCAGGCAGATCCTGGCCTCGGCTTTCTCATCTGCAAAGTGGAGCCCTGGGCCCTGCCCTGATGGCTCCACGGCTGTGAGTGAGGAGTGGACCTACGGATTAGGGTGGGGTTGGGTGCAGGAGGGTGGAGGGTGGAGGACAGATCTTGCCGTGGAGTGAGGGTGTTGACTGTCCCAGCTGTGGGACATGGCCTCTTGAACAAATAAGAGTACAGACAGCCCGGGCCCACCCGGGCGGAGTAGCTGCATGCCTGGGGTGGGGCACCTGCCCAGACAAGGGAAGGGGTGGGCGGGTCCCAGTCATGGGGGTGCCGCTGTGAAGGCGTCAGGGGCGACTCACTGTGGGACACCCCCCCCGGGAACCCTCAGACTGCTGCCGAGGCCATTTGCTGTCCATCCCCCATTGCCATAAAGACACACAAGTGTCCACTCTAACATGGGTTAAATTGTGCACTGGCAAAAAAAAAAAAAAAAGCCTAATTCCAGATATTGAACTTGCTCAGCATTCTGCGGTCACAGTTCCCCTGAAAGGAGAGATTCTTATCCCCCTTGGCATAAAGAAACTGCAGGTCAGAGGGGCGAAACAGCACGGCGGAGGCCACGCACGTGCAGGGTACTGACTCCGGTGCTCACCCCGTGTCACTTTGCTGCCTTCCTGACGTGTCACCTGCCGTCTCATCGGGCAGGGATGTCCCGTATCCCTCTCTCTCCACTGGCAGGCACCCATTCCAAATGCTGCGGGTCTACTGTTCTTGCAGACATTCGGGGTCTATGTCGGTCCCTCCTGCCAGCTCTTGCCTGGCACTTGCCCTGCCTCCCTTGCTGCCCAAGGTCCCCACTCAGCTCCTCCTCCCTGCTAGCAGGCTCCTCCCACCTCCTGGTAGAAATCCCAGTTGGTCCCATGTTCAAGTCTCTGTGGGCAGCCCAGGATCTTAAAGTCCTGTGTCCAAGCTGCAGGTCTTCTATGAACTTCCTGCGACCGTGTGACCTTGGACAGGTCACGTCCCTTTTCTCTGGCCATCCATTTCCTCATCCATGAAATGGGCGACTTGAACCCATCGTGCTCTGTTCTCCATGGGGGCCGGCACTGGTGGATAAGCCACGACTCTCATCGCCAGCATTCCATATAGGAGCACCAAGTACTGGTTGACACGTCCTGGCTGCTCTAACTCCACCCAAGCTGCCTTCTACCGCGCCTGGGAAAGCAGTGAAAGATGGCCCACGTGCTGGGTTCCTGCCACCCACATGGGAGATCCAGATGGAGTTTCTGGCTCCTGGCTTCAACCTGGCCCAGCTCCGAGCCATTGTGGACAACTGGGGAGTGGACCAGTAGGTGGAAGATCTCTCTTTCTCTCTCTCTCTCTCTGTCCTTCTGCTTTTCAAATTAATAAATACATAAATTTCTTCTCCCTGTGGTCCCACTTCATTTTCCTGGGTTTCGATGTCACTGTGTGTTCACCAGCCATAGCACCCTCTCCACTGCACTTTTTTTTTTTTTTGACAGGCAGAGTGGACAGTGAGAGAGAGAGAGACAGAGAGAAAGGTCTTCCTTTACCGTTGGTTCACTCTCCAATGGCCGATGCGGCCGGCACGCTGAGGCTGGCATACCGCTCTGATGCGAAGCCAGGAGCCAGGTGCTTCTCCTGGTCTCCCATGTGGGTGCAGGGCCCAAGCACTTGGGACATCCTCCACTGCACTCCCGGGATACAGCAGAGAGCTGGACTGTAAGAAGAGCAACCGGGACAGAATCCGGCACCCTGACCAGGACTAGAACCCGGTGTGCCAGCGCCACAGGCGGAGGATTAGCCTAGTGAGCCATGGCGCCGGCCTGCACTTTTTTTTTTTTTAATTATTTATTTAAAGTCAGAGTTACAGAGAGAGGGAGAGAGACAGAAAGATCTTCCATCTGCTGGTTAACTCCCCAAATGACTGCACCAGCCAGAACTGTGCCAGGCTGAAACCAGGAGCCAGAAAACTCATCCAGGTCTCCCACGTGGGTGCAGGGACACAAGCACTTGGGCCATCCTGGGCTGCTTTCCCTGGCACATTAGCAGGGAGCTGGATCAGAAGTGGAACAGCCCAGACTCCAACTGCGCCGGTATGGGATGCCGGCGCCCCTGGCAGAGCTCAACCCGCTGCGCCGCAGCGCCGGCCCCCTTGGCTAGCTTTTACACTCTGGAAGGGCAGGAGCGGGTGTGGCGCTGCCAGTGAGGGATCTGCCAAGACACGTGGATCAACTTACGGGCAATCTACTGACGCCTGCGCCTCTTCGCCTGCCCTCTTTGGTTAGGGTGTGCACAAAGATGCCTGCAGCGGGCCTGAGGGCGTGTCTCTCGGCTAGGGGAGGGGGAGGGCTGTGCCACTCCTGCAGGGTGGGCAACAAGGCCAGTGCCGGGCTCGGCCTCTGCTCCCTCACTGTCCAGGCGTCAGGAGATGGTGTCAGAGACCACGCCTGTCACGCTTCCATCCTCCAAAGTGTGTAGTGGCCAGGGGCTCACCGAGCCCCCCCACAACCCTGAGACGCCCGAGCAGGGACTGGCCATGTCCTTTCTGTCCATGGTCAGCGGCCTGCCCAAGGCGTCTGTGAATTCTGCACAGAGCCTAGACCCGGATCTGCTCTCCTGGTCCTGGTCCCAGTCGCAGTCCCAGTCCCGGTCCCCAAGCCCTGCTGTGCAGGAGATAACATCTGGCCTGTTTGGATGGAACTGAGGCCTCAGAGGACAGACAGACAGACACCCGGCCAGAGGCACAACCACAGAAAGACCCCACCAGAGCCTTGAGACCCCCAGCTGCAGCCCACACACACAGATGGGGAGGTCTCTGGCCTCCAGTCCCCTGCTCCTCCTGCTGTCTGCACAGGGCATACAGGGTGAGGCTGGGAGCAGCAGCCGCCCAGAGAGGAAGTGGGAGGAGAAGGTGTCCCCCTTACTTTCCTGCCTCAGCCCCAGTGTTTGGCCCCAGAGGTGGATTTGCTAGAATTCTGGTAGGCTGGGCCGGAAGTGGCCGCAGCCCGCCTCCTCAGCGCCAGTGCGGGTTCCTGGAGTCTGATGCTGCCCCTTTGCGCTTATCTCTCATCACTGCGTCCAGCGGGTGGCACCTTCCAGCCCACAGCCTGCGATCCAGGAAACGGAGGCTGGCAGTGGATCCAGAGACCGTGGGTGGGCTGACAGCAGGGCTGCGGACACGTGGGGTGGGGGGTCCCTCCCACACATGGCTTCCTCGCCTTTCCCGGGCACCTCCCACGCCGTTTCTGAGGGTGCTCCTGCCCTCAGTGAGGCCTCCAGCCTCCCAGCCCTCAGGCCCCGGGGGCGGGGGTGGAGGGGGTAGGAGCCTAAGCGCACCTCGACTCTACCTGGATGCATGGCTGTGGTTGCCCCTCGGGCTGCCGGGATGGGGACGTGCCCTGGAGGTCACGGAGAGTCCGCGGTCAGGGCGCGCGGGGAGGCGCAGACCCGGGAACCGAGGGGTCCCCCCGCCCTCGGCTCCTCCCCCGGGGCCGCCCCGCCCCGCGCAGAGAGGCGCGCCTGCCCGGCCCGGGCCAGGTGCAGCGCCCAGGAGCAGGGGGGCAGCTGCGCCGGGAGCCGTACCCTGTCCACGGGACGCCGGGGACCCTAGGAGCCCAGGTAACCGAGGACGGCACTCCCCGCCAGTGCTGTCTACGGGTCCCCAGCCGCGCGCGGCCTGCCCGCCTCCCCGTCCACGCGCGCCCTGCACCGCCGCGGCGCTCCTGGAGCCCGGGTGGCCGCTGCCAGAGCGCGTCCTGAGGAGTTCGTGCCCGTGCCGGGGCGGCGGCGCCGCGCGGGCGCCGGGCAGAGGTGCAGCGACCCGTGCGCCGGCAGAGGGCTTCCCGCTGCAATTGGTTAGTTCCCGACGGTGCCGGTTTCTCTCTCTCTCCCGCGACCCCGGCCCTCCACCTCTCACGAAGTTCCTTGGCTAGGGACCGCACCGTCGGCGGGTTCTTCTGGAATGTTTACGTGTATGCTTCCCGCCTCCTCGGCGTGAGCGGCTGGCGCGCGCGCTAAGGGGCCGCCCCGTGCGCGCCCGGATCGGCCTGGGCCGGATGGAAGCGGCGCCCCTTGGCTTTGCGGCCGGAGCTGGATATCAGCGCCCACCGCCCCGCCCCCAGCCCGTCCCAGGGCTGCAGTCCGGGAAGCCCCGGGGGAAGGGACCACAGAACCATGACCCCGGTTGGTGTGCGCAAAGTGGCTTGCTCGGCTTCCCGGCTTGGGGTGGGAAGGGGCGAAGGCTTCCCTCGCAGAGGCGGGGAGCAGGTGGCATGGGTCAGAGCACAGGCTCGGACAGGGCCGCAGACAGGAAGGCGGCAGGGAGAGGGGGAGGAATTTGCCTCCCTCATCCCCACGGTGGAGTGCCCACCTCAGATCACTGCCTTCCAGAGGCTGGGGTGGCTTCTGCATTCTGGCTGGCCCCTGACTCTGCAGGTGTCGGCTGCCCTTGAGTGCCTTCCTGCCAATGGGGCTTTGCCCTGCCACCACTTCCAGGCAGCAAGAAAACCCAGCAGAAAACTTCCTGCTGCAGTTGGTTAGTTCCCCACGGTGCCAGAGAGCTGCAGGAGGGCAGGTGCGCTGGGCCCCAGCACCCGGGGTCCTAGGGGAAGCGGAGGAACTCACTCCAACAGCTGGGATCTTCCTGGCCCACCTGGGGTCTTTGACCTTGGTGAGTAGCAAACACAATTTGGGAAGTGGCCCGGTGCCACCCCGAGTCGCCTTGACACCCGTCCCCCCTTGGGGCCACTTGGTTTTGTGTTGAGGTCCCTTGCGCTTCTCCAGAGGGACCTCAGGCTTTGGCTGCTCCCTCCACCCACCTGTCAGACCGAGGAGAGGCAGAGGGCGCCAGGTAAAATGCGCTATCGGCCCTGCCCTAGGTTGGTGGCACAGAGCTTGAGTCCCCTCCCCTTGGCCTTCTCATCTCTCGCTCGGGAAGATCTCATCTGGGAACTTTAACAGTCATTGCCTCCCCTATGGGGCAAGCGTGAATTGGGGAAAGAGCTTCTTTTCCTGGGCCTCAATATCCCCATCTGTGAAATGGGCGCAGTGGGAGCTGCCTGATTTGTGAGGGAGTGCATGGTCCAGACGGTTCTGTCCGCTGCAGACTGGGAGAGATGACCAAGATTCTGTGGGGTGTATGTGTGTGTGTGTGTGTGTGTGTGTGTCCATTGCTCGCGCAGTGGACGGGCATCTTGGTAACCCGCAGAGAGTAGTTCGCACACTGAGCACACAGTGGGCCCGCAGGAAGTGGTCATTGACCAGAAGTGGTCTCTAGGGGAAGAGCAGTTGTTGAGATTCATGGGGGGTGGGGAGGTTGAAATCCCGCTCCCACCCTCCGCCCATGAGGGGAGGCGGCAGCCAGGCAGGCAGGCTCAGATGGAGGGGGCCGAGAGCCCCGTGGGCGGAGGGGTCTCTGAGACCCAGACGGACTGGGGATGCAGAAGACCCCGTGGATCTAGAAGAAATCCCCCATTCAGGCCCCCTGCGGCCCCTCAGCCCCTCCCCATCCCCTCCCCAGCCCCAGGCCTTTGGCTGGAGGACTGGCTGCAGCACACGGAGTTGCTGGGCTCTTGCCCCACCGGGGTCGGGCTGCAGAGAGGGTCGCGCGGCTCCAGCCTGGCGCAGACCTCCCACCCTGGCAGCCCGGTGACCTGTGCCTGTGCCTGCACAGCCCAGCCAGTTCTGGGCCCCTAACAAGGGCCCGCGGAGGACAGAGGACAGAGAGCCCGCGTCTCTCCGGGGAGGCCGCCCCTGCACTGCCTTGCTCTCGGCCACACTTGCCTCTCTCTAATGCACCACTCGGCATTTGTGCATCATTTGCCCGCCCCTGGAGGACGTCTGCTGGGAGGGCACGAGGGCAGGAGGGCAGGGCCTTCTGTTTGCTTCGTGTGCTGCTCAGGCAGCAAGGGAGTGCGTGACGTGTAGCAGGTGCCCAGTCAATCTGTGTGGAATCAATAAATACGGGGGCTCACCAGGGAGTTCCGAGAAAATGCATACCGTGTAAAAAAGCTACGCACGGACTTAAAAGAATTTTTGCACCAAATTAACTCATCCTTTAAAAAAGATTTACTTATGTATATGACAAGCAGAGTGAGAGAGAGAGAGAGAGATCTTTCATTTGGGGATTCCTCCCCCCACATGGCTGCAGTAGCCAGACCACGTCGAAGCCAGGAGCCAGGAACTCCATCCAGGTCTCCCACGTGGGTGCAGGGGCCCAAGGACTTGGGCCATCTGCTGCTGCTTTCCCAGGTGCATTAGCAGGGAGCTGGACTGGAAGTCAAGTAGGTGGGACCTGAACTAGGTGCTCCAGCACGGGATGCCAGCCTCACAAGTTGCTGCTTAATCTGCTGTGTCGCAGCCCCAGCCCTCAGCGACAAACTTGTCTGTTCATTCCTTTGCCACGCACTTTTGTATATCTACCCCCTCTTTTATTGTATGGAAGTGGAAACTGAGGCCCAGAGGCCAGCAGGGTCTCTTGGAGCAGAGTTGGAGCCTTTGCTAACTGGGCTCGAGTTGGCTGGAAGCTGGGTCCTTGTGCCCTGCGTCAGGTTCCTGGGGGGCACACAGGCACACCTGGCGAGAGCCTGTGGGCCTGCCGCCTCCCGGGTTACCTGGAGGAGCAGCTCCAGGACTGAGCCCATGGCCGCCACAAGGGCAATTGGTGGAGAAACGAGAGGAAGGGGCCAGGGCGGGAGAGAGGGCAGGGACACCTGGCCTGGTGCCGCTGTAGGTCTTCCCCATGCCCTCCCGGCCGTCTCTGCCCCTAGCCACACGGCCAGGCTCGCTTCTCCTGAAGAGGATCAGGCCATGACCTGGGACGTAGCCCCTTGCATTCCTGTCCCCCGGCCTCCTCTTTATCACCACCATCGCTGCAAGGCTGGTGGCTTCCAGCCACAGAGGATGGAAAAGTACGCCTGTTGCGACACCATGTGAGTCAGTTGGTCGTAAATTATGGGGCCGCCCTGTCAGCCCTGATGCCCTGGAGTCTGGCCCATGGGTTAGGGACATGGTGCTGGCTCCCGGGGTGGGAAAGGGTACAGGCGACTCCACATGCTGCTTTGAAGTTAGCAGAATGGCAGCGAGGCGCCCACAGGTGCAAGGGACACAGCTGGGGAAAAGGAGCTGTCACCAAGGCAGCACTCCGAGGGTTAATTCCCACCCACACCCTGTCCTCCAAGCCGGGTTTTGCCTTATACATTTGTCCTGTCTTTGACCTTGACACCAGGCCAGGTTCACCCCCAGGTGCTGTGGTTGCTGGGGTAAACCTCAGACAAGGGCGTTCTGCCTGGGCACCCCAGCGCCCCACCACACCGTCTTCCCCTGGGAGTGCCTGGGAGTCCCCTGGCCCAGGTGGCCAGGCTGGCCTTGGTGAGATCATCTGGAGCCTGTCAGAGCTGTCAGAGATATGACCTTCATGGCTTCTACATCCCAGGGTCCCCCTGCAGCCACCCCACCACCTTGCCACTCCACGGGTTGTGGAGTTGATGGCTGCCCTCCTGGGGGTTGAAGGCTGGCGTGGCTGCTTGGGAGCCCTGGGTTCTAACTCTAGCCTGACTCACAGTATGAACTTGACCCCATCACCGCTCGGGCTCAGTTCCTTGTCTCTGAAAGAGGCCGCCGGGGCTTGGTGAGGCGTGTCAGCCTCAGCGCTATTGGCGGTTTGGATGGAGAATTTTTTTTTTTTTTTTTTTTTTTTTTGATGGGGGAAGCTAGACCGGCTCTGGGGACAGTGCTGGGCACCGTATGACCTTGAGCAGCGTCCTTGGCCTCATCTGCTGCATACCAAAGCATCACCTCCAGGTTGGATGACCTCGGACGGTTACCCAAGAGGCAGGGACAGCCCTGGGTGTGAGGATGGGACTGGGTGTGAGTGAGGAATCCGTAGGTAGGGGCTGGCCTGCTGACCTCTTGCTGAGAGCCAAGATCAACTTCTCTCTGCCTTCAGATCTTGGGTTACATAAGCAGGTGGGGGTAGGGCCGCAGGCCTGGTGACTAATCAGGTACCTGTGCCTTGGGAACCGGTGCGCCCCCACTTACCCCTCTCAGCCGATGCCCAGGGAGGGGACGCAGGAAGCGAATCCACCACGGGGAAACGTGTGCGTGAGGCCCTGGCCCGCCCGCCACGGCCTGCCGGCTTTTATTTTGTTTATTTCTCCCCAGTGAGCTGTTTATTAACTTCTTCCATGTAAGCCCCTTCTGACCTTGTTGCTTAACCGAAGGTCAGAGTCGTCTTCTGGTGAGTGGGGGCGGCTGGGAGGGGTTTGCTCTGGGCTGGGCATGGTGCTGACCCGGAACCGTGGGTTTGGGTCACACGCTGGCGGAGTCGTCCTTGGTGAGACCGTGCTCTAGGGTGTGGGTCCCTGGCCGCGGGAGGATGGGGAAGGGATGATCTGTGGGTGCAGCACTGGGGAGGTGCATGGGGGCACCAGCAGATCCACCCAGGGCCGTGCTGAATCTGGGGCACCAGCAGCTCCGCCCAGGGCCGTGCTTGACTGGGGCACCAGCAGCTCCGCCCAGGGCCGTGCTTGACTGGGGAGGTGGCTGTGGTCCTTGGACAGCTTCGCCAAAGGAAGAGGCGGGTTTTCGGCCTTCTTGCTATTGTAAAACGTACAGACTAT